ATAGAAAATAATAGATATAAGGAAATTAAATGATAAATTATCATTATTAATAATACTTAATATCATAATATGGAAAAGGAAAGAAAGAAACAGAAAAAAAATAGAAAAATTAAAAGAAGGTGGCAGAAGAAAATTAGAAGAATTTTCAAATATGAAAGATAGGCAGGGAAGAGTAAAAAGGATAGAGTTGCATATAAATTGAGAGGTGTTTAACTTAGAATGATAAATAAAAGACAAAAGTGGGATACAAAAGATAATAAAGTTTAGTTTATTATAATTGTTCAAGTATTAGTCTAAAACAATGGTCAATAATCCATATATTTACCTCTTTATTCTTTGTATTCAAATATAAACTTAAAGCATTGTTCTTAAAAAGATAAAGAGTCACAAGTTTTAAAAGATGCATATCAAGAATTGTCAAATTATATATATATATTAAAAAAGAAAAGAAAAGCACAATACTTTTGATTAAATCTTTATTTTATTATATTGGTCTCATCCTCCAAATAGCTTTAAATATTGAAGTTTCATAGAGTTATAAATGTATTCCTATTTATAACATTTTACATGACATTTCCAATACAAAATTACTTAAAAGATATTTTATGGTGAAAGATAAACTTCTTGGGGTATTTGGACTGAAATGCAGTACAGATATGTGACATGTTATGCAGCAAATTCTGCAGGTAACAAAATAAAGATTTTGAAGAATTAATTTGTTTTAGAGTTGAGGTAGGGTTGCAAGTGTATTGTTTTGTTACTCTAATCACTTATATTATTTTTAAAATCTGATTAAAAAAATGACTGAGGCTGGTTGATGGTGGTGCATTTAGTAGCTTTGCTGCCTTGCAGTAAGAAGGTCCTGGGTTTGATCCCTGGCTTTGGGTCTTTCCGTATGAAGTTTTCATGTTCTCTCCATATATGTTGTCTGTGGGGACTCTGGCTTCCTTTCGTCTTCCAAAAACATGACTATTAGATTAAATGGTCTCTCTAAGTTGTTCTTTGTTGTGTGTGCGCATTGTTTTGTGTCTCTGCAATAGACTGCTAAGCTGTCCAGGGTGTAACCCAACTCCAAGACTGCTGGAAATAAGCACCACCCTCCTGTGATCATGACAGAAAAGAGGTAAAAGATGGATGTATTAAAGCAAAATGTATGAAACAGAGACAATCCAGTTTTTTTTTCAGAATATAGACAAAAAACAAAAACAAGTGCTGTTATTGAAAATAAAATGACAAACCTTTAACCTTTGTTATACTCTTATTTAGACCATTTAATATATTTTTAACGAAAAACGTATTATCAGTTACCACAAGCTGTAAACCAAAAAGAAAAATCAAAATGTTTTTCCTCTAAGAGTATTGATCCAGTCATAGAAACTTTCCAAGCTTAATCCAAACAGGCTTCTAAACCCGTTAAAAAGCCGACTCTTTTCAGTGAGGAAATTCTTCCCATCAGATGCTGCTGTCCTTTAAGCGCTCATAATCATTCTCTCGGTGACCATCCCCAGCCGCGAAGCTTTCCTCTGTGGCTCGTTTGGCCTCCTTTGAAATCCTCTCAAACCTCCTTAGGAAAGCAATAAGAGCTATCAACAAAGCCGCCTGGACCACCACAAACACTATCAGAGATCCCAGAGAGGCGAGGGCCAGGTTACAGTACCAGTAGTGGCACGACTCCAGCACCTCCTCCTCGGTCAGATACACCACAGACCGGCCTCTTAGGCTAGGAGGCGAGCTGCAGATGACCCCCAAGTGGGAACCCATGCTGGCGGACTGACGCCTCAGCCAGGCTCGCAGATAAAGGATGCCACAGTCGCATATCCAAGGGTTACCGTGAAGGGACACAGAGGACAGGGAGGTCAGGTCATCCAGGATCCCATTGGGGAGTGTGCTCAGCAGGTTGTCATGCAGACGCAGCTCCTCTGTTTCTGCAGGGAAGCTGGAGGGCAGGGAGTCAGAGGTGATAGACCTACTGCTGCAGTCCACCTGAGAACCCTGACAAGAGCAAAGATGGGGGCACGCCAGTGATCTGTGAGCTCCCAATGAGAGGAGAAGACCCAGGAGCAGGTGCACAGTCATGGTTAGCATGCTGCAGAGAAGAGACAAAAGGTGACATTTAAGTTGAACTGGGTGATGACATTTGTCATCTTTCTTTTTTAAAAATCTTGTTCTGCTTCATGTATTGATTCTAGATTCATACTATCTTTTTGGCTCATTTCGTTTTCAGATGATTGGAATATTTATGGGTACTGCAACTGGATAAGAGCTTTGATTCAAAGAGGAAAAATTATGATTTATTTTCTGTTTTTTATTATTTTGTCATACTGCTTATCTTCTTTTCTGAATGGCTTTTGCCAGGCTCATTTATTTCCTTGACTTAATATGCTATTTGATATACTTTTGATTGTTCTATTTAAAAGGACCTAATTTATGGAGCTATAGATCCATTAGTTCAGTTCTGTACAATGAATGTGCACTTTTAATTATATTGAAATGGGTCTCACTCAGTAGTGCCACAGCATTTCAGAAGTTTTTTTTCTGAATGTTTTTCTTTTAAACTGGGTTTATGTTTCACACATGTTGCAGCACACCAAGCTTTGTGTGCTTAAAAGATTATGAAAGTGGAAAGGACCACTGCAGTGAGGGACCACTGCAGAAGAGTCAGGGATTCAATTGATGTATGCAGAAAGTATCAAGAAGCTGAAACCAAGAAGATACTTCACACAAAACATGAGCAATGTGTTTTCTTTTAAAAGCAAATCGTTAAAAAAAAGTCCAGTTTACAACAGGTTCTTTGTCAAGTTTAAGATTTTAGGATTTTAGGAACCATGAAAAAACAAAAAGCATTTTTTGAAAAAGATTGGATATAGTTCATTTCTGCACAAGGTAAATGAACTAAACAGCTGCTTTAATCCCTATCGGTTGGCCCCACACCGAGCAAGAATTTCCTGCATCATATGCTCACGATAACTTAAAACTGTATTTCATCATGCAAGTGTGCCAAGCTAATAAGATGTTAGGCTATAAAAGCATCATGTAGAACTGGTTAGAGATATTTCTCTGCCTTGCTGCGGTGCTGACTTGGGTTTGGACATTATAGCAACAGTTAGATCTAACCTGCTGCTCTGTTCAGGGGGACATCGGCCTGGTCCCTGCTGCAGAAAAAAAACTTCCCACTTTCCCTTTTTAAGTGATAGACTTGGTTCTTTCTTTGTTTATCCACTGTCACTACAGGCTCATCCAGAAGCGAATGCTTCAAGTCAATGACTTGATACATTAAGCTGAATTTCCCTTAATATAAAACTTTAAACAATTTAATAATAATAAGTTGAACTTAATTGATTTCACAATGGAAAAATTAATTCTCTGCATTTAACCCATCCCCTTGGGGAGCAGTGAGCTGTCACTGTTCAGCACCCAGGAAGCAATTGGAGGTTAAGAGTCTTGCTTATAGATCCAGAGTGGCAGTCTGATTGAATTTCTAATGCACAACATCATGATTCGAAGCTCTTTGCCCTAACCACTCCAAATGAATAGATTGGGCTTAACTGCATGTGTTGACAACTAGGATCAATTAGAATATATGTTCCTTGCATTTTAATCAGATTTAATAGACCTGACTTTCTATTTTACGAAGAACACTATAAATAACCTGCATAACTTCCAGCATAGTTATTATTCAAGGCTACATACAAAGTCAGATATTAGAATTTATTTTAATATCAAATTTTTGTTTTTTGTTCTTTACCAGAAAAAATGTGTTTATTTTTGATAGTAATAAATATATCCAAGTAAATTATATCCACCAACGACAGATATGTAAAATCCCACCAGATTATGCTTCATCTGCAATTTTATTACGTATCACTTCAGCTAAAGGATCATGTAGAACATTTCTTTTACAAATTCATACACTTTTTAATATTTGCTGACCTAGAAAATATAATTTTTTTCTGACTCTTGTATGTCTACAGGAGTCCTGCTGGACATATTAGATTCAAAATATCACCTAAAAAAAACTAATAGTATAAAAGTCTAAAAAAAAAAAAAACGATAAAGCCTGATATTTACCTTTGTTTCTGAGCGACTTGTGAGGATGACTTTGTTTCTTCTGATGGATTTTAGAGGAGGAATGTTTCACCAGTTTGCCAGCTGGCTCATACTGATAAAGACTGCTGTCAAATTATGAGTGTGTTTTCATACACATACATGCTTGTGTGGAGTCAGATAATCTACACCATGATGGAAAGAGAGAGAGAAAGTCAAATGATCCTTCTTTTTCATAGAAAATATAGAGTTAGGTCATAATGTATTTTCATAACTCCTATTATGAAGGTTTAGGTTAAATTTCAGCAGATTTAATAAAAAAAAAATACTTTCAATAGAGTTTCCATAGGTACATTTGATAACTCTTTCCAGAAAGATTCAAACAATTACTAAATATTTTAAAAATGTAATGCTGCATCAAAAACATAGAAAAGATTAGTGTTGCTGATCAGTTTTTTGCCAGGACTGTATCACAAAATTACTGAGGACATCCAATTCTTTTTAACTGGACCTGTGAGGGTTATTCAAAGCTATTAATACTTTATGTATTTTTATCTAAACCGTGGGTACTTCACTGTAATAGTAAAACATATATCTTTACATGTTTCAAGCTGTTTAGCCATTAATGTGTTTGTAAGTCTGGTTTATTTTTTAACCTACTCCAAAAATGCTAAATCCTACAAAATTTAAACTTTTATAAAGTATGAAAGTAGAAGTTTTTTTGCACAAGCTATATTATATCACTGTATCCTCAGCCTGGCAGGAAGATGATGCTGTGAGCAGAGGGAGGGAAGGAGCGGCTGCTGCAGATAAATATGAATCAGCAGATCGTGTTCCTGCAGAAGGTCCCTCTTCCAGTCTAGTTGATGTGTGGAAGTGATAAAGGAAACTGTGAAATGCTCACTGGATTAATCCTCTAAAAATAAAAAAATTTAATAATAAGTCAGAAATTCCATGTTAACAAGAAGAGGAGTTTATTTATCGTACTTTTGCAAAATGGGACACAAAGACTGAGCTAACAGCCTTCAGGGAACTTCTGTACAGGCCATCAGCAGCAGTACAGTCAGCACACACCCATACAAACATACACACACTCCCACACAGTCACTTGCAGACACTTTGCAGTCTTAACTCACATGGAAGTTTTACTACATCAATGGCTTTACTCACTTCTAGGGAGATAAGTTTAAACAGAAGCACAGACACAGTATTTGCTCCTCCTTACTTATTTTCCTTAATGCAGCAGCGACAAAGCAAACTGCACATTGGATGCATTAGATACAAGCACAAGGAATCAGTTACAAAGCAGTAAAAAATAGGCCCAACGCTTCCAGAAGATATGAGTAATGACAGCATGCACACACATGCTCCCTATAATGCACAAACCCTTATTTTAGCAGTTAGCTGCTGCCAATAAGTGCTGTTTCAGCTCAGATTGCATGTAAGAAAACTCTGGAGGAGGATGTTTATACTGACCTTAAGAAACTCTTAATGTTAATTAACAAATTCACAGCAAAAGTTAGATTTTAATTAATTAAATTTCCTTAAGAGGGAAAACGGGTTTCATGGATGGAAATCTGGAGTTAAAGATATATTATGATATAAGCTCAAATATCTAACACATAATCGCAAAATAACACCCAGGTTCAAATCTAACCATCAACCTACAGTTCTTTACAAAACATCTCACATTATATTCAAAAAAATTGCAAGCACTGTGTTATAAATTAGTCACTGACAAGTTATTTAAATTATATCTTAAAATTATTTGAGTTGATATCACAGCCAGGGGCTGAAATTGGAAAACGGAAATGACCTCCAGGCAGACAGACAAAATGGAGCACCAAAATGAATAGAAATGCAGCTGTCAGCTGGAGTTCCCGCGCCGAACGATCTAAATCCAGGTCTGAAGGTCTCATGGGGGTTTTGGGGTAGAAACAGCAGGTTGCAAAGCAGGATAACTCTGCCTCTGGAAATGTCACTGGTCCTTCTCATGCATCTGCTGCTGGATCTTATTCAGCATCTCCTGCATCCTCTTCAGCTGTGTAGAGAAAGAGAACGGATGGTTAAGGAGGGACACATTGACACACTGTAAATAAGCTGCCTGTTTTTGCAGCAAGCTACAAAACAGACTTTACATTAAAAACATGGATATAAACAGATAAAAAAGAATAAACCTGGAAAAATCTAGGGCTGCAACTAGCAATTATTGTGCAACTCGATTAATCTGTCTATTATTTTATCGATTAATAATCGGATAGACAAAGATTCTTTCAAGCTGACTTTTTACGAAATTAAACAGGTAAAACTCAAACTTTTCCACTTGAGGAGTTCTGGACAGAGCATATTGACAGGCATTTCTTTTTTCTTAATCTACAAGGTGTAGTGGAGGATTTTCGCAAATTTTTGAAAAGACCTGCCCTCTCCCCTTTTTAAAAAAATGCACATGCACAACCCTGTACCCGTTCGCGAGAGGGAACGCCTATTAAACATGTGCGAGAGCGTGCACAAGCTCATTTCTCCTTGTGCACGCTCTGTTTAAAAGTAGCTGTTTGCATCGCTCATACAAGCTGACTTTCCAAAAAAAGATTTGCATTTGCTCAACTGTCATAGACTCACCACAGGTAAGTGAAAATGGGGACAAGCACGTAGGATGGCCTTACGTAAACATATCACCAGAATGATTGACAATCAGGAGGACCACTTATTTTGATGATCCACTCGGAAAAAGAACATCCTCCACTTTACCTTTAAATGCAAAATGTTGATATATTTTTGTACAATCTTGGTATAATTACTGCTCTAAGTAGGATGCTCTGTCAGGTTTAATCCTGATTAATTGAATACTAAATTAGTTGACGATTATTTAATTAATCAATGAATCACCATTAATCCGATAAACAGTTTCAGCCCCAGAAAAATTACAAATGTTTCTGTTCTCAGGTTACAAAGATTTTTCCAGACATCTTTGTAACCTGATCAAATGAAATTCAATGACTTTCTATGACTGCGACTAAAGTTCGGCAGCTGAAGACATTCCAAACCAGTTTAGAAATACAGTATGTTCATTATCATTATCTTGCTGGAACACCCAATCATGTCCGAGCGTCAATCATCTGTTCTAACCAGATTCTATTAAATAGGGTCTTACATTTGGTACCGACTTTATTGCTGCGGGAAGTATTGCACCATTCACTACTGTGCAACATGTATTTCACAAGGCTTGAGTGTGAAGTGGCAAAACAATTAACAATCGACATGTTTATGTCCTTCTACACCATCAATTGTCTACATGGGCTTATCTTTGCAAGCCTGAGGGCTTGAAAATAACACAATACATTGAAAATAAATACTCCAAACACTGACATACCTCCTCATCTTTCATCTTGATTAGCTTCTCAGTGTCCACGTCTGGGGTGGACAGTGGCAGGATGGGAATGGGGCTCTCCATCCGATTGTCCTGAGCCAGTTTACTGAGAGATGAAACAGACAGAAGAGAAGGGATTAAATGTTTATATCTATACAACTCTGATTATAAACGTTTGATGTTTGTTCTTTAGACTATTTCTAACACAGAGAGACCAACCTGGTCATCTCCTGGATGCACTGCGCTCTGTAGTTCTCATAGTGGACGTCACAGGTTACATCTTTGAGGTCGTGCATGTGTGAGCGGATCAACATGTTCCTCAGTTTCACAAAGTCACAGTGTGACTGATTTTCCACTGTGGAGATAAACTTTTTATCAACAAGCCTGGTTACAAGCATACAGTTCTTGCAACACTATCACATCCTCTGGAGTTTAACCGTTTTGTCTCATAACGACCACCAGCTGCAATGCTGTTTTATGTGGATTAATTGATTTTATGTGACAGATTAACACAAAGCAGGGTCAGTAGACGCCCTGCTGGAGGTTGGTCACCAACCATGCAGGCGACTGTAAGGGAGAAAGCGGATCTTGTTTAGATGGGATAAAAATTGTACTTCTTGATCTACATGCAAAATGCTGAGTGTGGTTGGAAATCAACACCATGAACACATCGTTCCCACAGTGAAACATTGAGGTGATAATATTGTGCTGACGAGAAGCCGGATGGCGCTAAAAACAGCATAAAACAGAAAGGAAAACATGCCTGAAGCTGCACATGATTTTAGACTGGGGTGAAAGTCCCCAAGTAGGACAATGATCATAAACGTACAGCCAGAGCTAAAATGGAAACGGTTACATCAACCATTATTCATGAGTGTACAAGTCCCAATGTATGTAGCTTATATTCTCTGTCATGAGGGCTGAACCAATGCGTCATTCATCAAATTACCTTCTACAATCCCCCAGGGGTACAGGCGTCCTCTCACCCTCTGTCCTCTGGCCTCCACCACAGTGTTGCTGCCGATCACAGCGAACGGTGTGCACTCCTACATGCAGGATGACAAGTTGTTATTTTAAACCCATTTGCACAGGAAAGGCTGGCTGAGCATGCTGGTGCATATTCACATATTTAGACACGTTCTCTAAAGAGCCATGCAACTAAAGGGGAAGCATCACAGGGATTGCTCAGACATGTAACACATTGCATGCTGTTCCTTTTTTTTCTATTTTAAAGGCAGAATAGGAAAAGTCACGCCACAAGCTATATCTTTTTATTTTTGGATGTTGAAAATGATAGAAAATAATAGCGCCTATAGTGCATATAACATTTAAACTTCATGTCTACTGACATAACCTATTAGCTTAGTGATCCAGTTCAGAGGATTCACTGTTTAGACCAAATCTCTGAATACTAAATCAATTTCTGCCAAATCAGCAGCAGAATATCTTTAGTTTGGCTGCAAATCTGAGACATATGAGCCTTTTCCTTCTCAACTCAGACCGAAAAAATGCAATAAGAGTTTGATACACAGCGATAAGAGAGAAATGTCAAACCAGACTTTTATTTTCAGCTTCAACTGAGACTTTTCAGAAAGAATAGAATAATCTTTATGAAAAACACAACACAAGCTTTAATTAGTTGTAACTTAGGCTACTGTAAGTTCAAACAAAGAACTCTTTTGTAAAAGATTCTGCGAAACCGGTAGATTATCCCAAACACCTGACCTTGGATTAAGAATCTTATTTGAGACCCTTTTCAAATGTTTCCTGTATTTTCCAGCCAAATCTACTTGCATTGTACTACAGTGGAGAAAAAGGCTTGAAAGTAACCAACAAAATGACAACATACAACTGAAATTATTTGCATACAAATAAAACACCTCTAGATTTTGAAAATAAAACCTAAGGTTTTCCTGTAGCTTCTGAAGAAGGTTTTTATGGTTTTCCCAGCAAACAATATTTAATAAACCATGACTAATTAATTGGTACCAACCACCTTAATAGGTTTAAAGGAATCACAGTGACAAATGACAATGTTTTGATAGATAATGCAACATTTTCTAAGCAGTCTTAGAATTATGTATTTTATTGCATTCATAAAAATGACTCCTGTTTCCATTGTCTTTCTGTTAGTGAATGAAGATTGGTTTATATTAAGTATAAAATAATGTTTATTTAGCATACACCATCTCATAAAGAAGATACCAAATCTCTAGATTGTTCTAGTGCAGTTTACAGTTACTGATGTATGGGCGGGATATAGTCTCATACAAACACTCATTTTAAGAAATAATTGTTTTTATCAGTTTCCTTGTGTTAAGTTGGTCAACAATGCAACATTTAGTCTTTCCCTGACATTTCACGAGGTATACAAGAATAAAAATGTTTTTTCTTTCTCTTTTCTCTCCAGATCATACACTCTAACAATCTTCCGATGGTCAATGGAAGAGAAATGGGCCCCTAGCATTACAGATCATCCACTGTGCATAACAGTGAGCTCAGTTTCAAATACAACAAAATCAGTGTTTAAAATTTTGGCCTGGAAAAAAAAAAGAGAAGCTTTTTGCTGGGTGAATGTAGGATCAAAAATCTTTGTAAAATTATTAGGAAAAATAATAAATGCATTTAAATCAAAGTTTGTGTTTTTTCCTCTGTTGTTTGGGTGAGATTATGCTACTGGGAATAATTTAACCATTTTTTCAGATGAAACAGTAATTCTGGAGGGTATTTTATGTCAGTAGGTAACTGCTAGTTTGTATTTGATCTAAAAAGGGGCTTTATAACTCTTAGGCTCACCTTCAGCTCTTTGTCAAGTTGTTTAAACTCCTCATCCTCGTCAGAGTCACATTCAGGGAACTGGTAAACTTTGATCCCAAACTTGTCTATTTCCTCCCGTATCTGTAAGAGGAGACACACAAAAACATGTGGATTAAACTGCATTAAGGTCAGGGAGCGCATACAGGCTAATGGTCCTAAACTCACTCTGTCTTTGAGTTTTTTTATCTCGTTGGGAGTGAGGCAGTCGGCCTTTGCTATCAGAGGAATGATGTTCACTTTTTCATGAAGAGCCTTCATAAACTCCACATCAACGGGACGCAGGCTGAGAAGAGAAAGCCGGAGTCCAGTTTACTTTTCCTTTGGTTTGATTCTGCAGATATTGTCTGTGTATATGTGTCATTACCCATGTCCAAATGGAGGGATGAAGTAGAGGCAGCAGTGGACCCTGTTGTCCTGGATATTCTTTCTATTCAGCCCGCTCTCATCCCTGAAGTATTGCTCAAACTGCTGATCAATGTAGTCTGTGATTGGCTTCCAGCTAGAACACACAAAATAATGACTAAAGTTACATTTATCTATGGAGCACCCTTTAAAGTTACCGTAATTACATTTCTGAAGAGGACAGATGCAGAAAAAGCATATTTTTACTCTTTCACTGAGAACAGGCGTAAGGGGGAAAGTCCAGAAAAATACACATATGAATTGAATTACGAGTCCTTACAGCGTATATTTCTTCTGTATATAAACTTTGCATAACCTTGTGTGAGTTGTCCACACTATCTAAATGTAAGTGTAAAGTAGTGGTGATAAAGGGAACAGTGGGACGGACTGCACTTAAAGGCAGCTGTAGAGTCAAAAAGACTGACAAATCTACAGCTAACAAAAATGCAGTAACCTCTAGATGCACTTTTTTTAAACCAAAAAAACACAACACATTTTAGGGTTTATCAGAAAATAACTCACCAAAAATGTAGAATATTTGTTAAAAAAGTCTAAACCTGATCGTATCCTGTTATTGCGTCCAATAATAAAAATAACTCCTGAATAAAAATTATTTTACCAAACTGTTTTAAAAATAGATTAACTTAAAAATGAGGTAGCCTTTTAATCAATGCAGAGTCACTCAGTATTTGTGGTGACTTGTAGACAAAGAAACAACGTTGTCTCATTGGCTTATGTACAGTGAGATGTTTTTAAAGAGGAAGCAGATCTTAACGTAATACGAAGGGCCCAACAATGGAACCTTGAGGAACTCCTCATGTTATTTTTGCTAATGCCACATAAAATCTTAACCAGAATGTAGAAGTTTTGACATTGACCATCTGCAACATGTGGCAATGCAAATTCTGGTGGTGTGTTTGAAAAGCAGCACCATTAGCTAACATGAGACCAACAAGAGCTGCAGCTCACCACTCGTTGTTGTTGACGGCATCTCCAAACCCCGGCGTGTCCACTATGGTGAGCTTGAGCTTTACTCCTTTCTCCTCTATGTCTACAGTATGCTTGATGATCTCTACAGTTTGGTTAATCCGCTCTGCAAAGCATCAGCGCAGGATGAAGGACAGAAAAAATTGGATTAAAGACATCAAGGACAGAGCTAAATAAGCTGTGTTATGTTAAGATAACATCTAAATTCAATTTTCATTATTTTCAACTTTACGAATTTTTAAAATGGAAATAATGTTTATTAAGGCTAAACCAGTTTTAAAACCAGGCTTGTAGGAACCAGCAGAAAACCAAAAAAAAAAAGAAGAAAATGAAGATAAGAGTGAAATGAAGACTCACCCTCTGCATTCAGTAACTTCCTGTCTTTGTAGAGGTCTGTAAGGAAAAGGCTGTTGACCAGAGTGGACTTTCCCATCCCAGATTCACCTATAAGCAAAGAGACATGGCAGCATATTTAAAATATATAGTACAAAAACAGATCAATTCTGGATTATTAGAGCCATTATCCTGAAACCTAACAAAAACTGATCAGTGTAACCTTTAAGATAACCAGTTTAGCATTATGATCCTAATAAACTGTTAGCAATGACTGAATTGTTTACAGTTTTGTTTAGAAAAAAATAAAAATAAAACTGACCTGCAACCATTAGGGTAAAATCAAAGCCTTTCTTTACAGACTTCCTGTGGACCTGGTTGGGTAGAGTTGCAAAGCCAACATATTGTTTCTCCTGCAACATAATAAAGGGGGGAAAAAGATGTGTTTAGGAAAAAGTGCTGCGATCCACCATTTCTACTGATGTAGCTGTAATTCAGAAAAGCAAACCACTCAGCTGAAGAAAAACAAATTACGTCAAAGGCTTATTTGCAGGATTTGATGCACATAAAGAGTAAAAACACACTTATTTTTTTCTGAATATATATATATATATATATATATATATATATATATATATATATATATATATATATATAGAGATGTGCCGATCGTATGTAAATATCAGATAT